AATCCTGAAGAGAAACATATGTATTTCACTTCCTCTGTGTAGAGCAGATGGAAATTGTGAGAACATTATTCAAGATTTAAGCAAGTAAGCAGTGTTAACAACTCAAGTCCAAAGTTTGCAGTAATTGTCTTGGGAGGAAATGCTTGTCTTGGAGTGAACAGACATAGAATTCTTACATAAATTACTTTTCTTTTCATATGGGAGTGGAGGGTGAGGAAGTTTTGATTTTCTCAGAAGGATTATAAATAATGTAATTGACAATTTCCTTTTTGTGTGAGGCAGCATTCCAGTTAAGTTGAATTTTTTATGTTAAATTTACCTAAGTGTTCCTGCCATGTAGCGAATTTTGAAAGAAGAGACATTAATGCACTGTCCCCTACTTTATCTCTCCTTCACAACGCACAAAACTTTAAAGAAAACGTCTTCCATTGACTTTAATGTGAGCCCTCCTTAGGCTGACCTGGAGGCTGAATTAAAATGACACATCTTTGCATGTGACGATATGGATATATTCAGAAATAGTGAGCTTTTAGAAGTCTGCCACAGAATTTGAAGTGAAATGAAGGAAATACATAGAAATGAAAATGCTCTATTGTATAAGGTAATGGTTCTGAAATGGTTAGTTTTGGAGATGCATTAAGTTGCACCCAGTCCAGTGATATCATAGAGTTTTGCCTTGCTACATTCCACTGGTTAAAAAATCTTTGCCTGTGTCTCTGCCAAAGCTACTTGGAGACAGATGTGACGTGTAAATCTCCCTCTCTGCAGATCCAGCAACAGTGTCTAATGTAACTGATATTTAATTGTTATCATGCAATAAACTACATCTTGTTAAGACAAAATTCTGTTCTTGTGGAGTCTCACTAGTGGTTGTTCTTTAACAACTGTAAACCAAATATGTCCCTAAATCCTGTCAGGGAAAGAGGAATGATGGCTACATGCTGCTATCCACAAATATCACATGGTGATTAGCAGTAGGTATTGTTGTTTAATACCACGTAGTACAGTGGAGTTTTCAGAAGTTCAAATGAGTTTTAATGCTAAAGGCTTCGCCCCTTTAAGAATTACTCTTGCAGACAGTTAGCAACTGCAAGCAGTTGAATAAACGGCCAACCAATAGGAAGTTATGGGAAGACCAACAAAGGAGAAAGAGCATTCCAGCCTAAAGCTTTTACTTTAGAACTAGTAAGAAACAATTCAGGCAGTTGCAGCTTCCATCTGTAAGTGAGGATCCGTAGAAGTATCGGTAAAAGGGTGCTACTGGCAAGGCAAATGGTAGAAGTGTCAGTCGGGGAGCATTTTGGCAAGTGTGGTACCATTGTTATGGAAAAGGACTAAGACCAGGAATAAAATTTCTGAATTGGGAAAAAGCCCAATTTTAATAAGATAGGATACAATCTGGCCAAAGTGGACTAGTGGGAGTCAAAAAGGGAATTGTGTGTGTGTGTGGGGTCCAGGGAGCTCAAATTCGGGAGTGTACAAGATTGGACAAGTAAAAAGAACTAAGCCTAATGCAGATATTGAGGGCTAGAAACAGCTGTGTCCTAAAGAAGTATAGAAAGTGCATGGGGTTACTTAAAAAAGGAAAGTGAAGAGGTCACGTAAAATGGTGAGTAAAATTAAGAAAAATCCAAAGGCATTTTGGAAGATAATAGGAGCAAGACAATAACCATGGTAAGAGTGGGTCCTATTACGTACTAAAGTGGCATTTTGCATGAGGGACTAGAAAATGTAAGTGATGATTTGAACAAATATATTGCACCTGCAATCACCATATAGAAAAGGATAGGGTACGTGTGGTAATCAGGGGAGGTCTGTCATAACCTTGAAAAAATTAGCGTTGAGAGGAAGGAGACATGAGTGGCTTTAGAAGGCTGAGATTGGGTAACTCCTTTAATCCTAATAAATCTATAAATGCATGTTGTTGTTGGAGGCAAGGGACAAGATTGCAGGGGCCTTGACTTTAATTTGCACATGTCCCACAGGCCATGGAAGATGTGCTAGAGGACAGGAAGGCAGCTAATTTGATACCCTTATTCAAAAAGTGTGGTAGGGATAAACTGGGAAATCATAGGCCAATAACTCTAATTCTGTCTAATGTTAATCTCTGCTTGGAGAGATAACGATTTATCAAGGATGATTGACGTGGCTTTGTCAGAGGGAAATCATGTCTTACAAATTTGATTGAATTTACTGAGAAGGTGTCTAGATGTGTAGATGATGGTAGTGTAGTTGATGTTGTCCACATGGATATCTGTAAGGCTTGCACAGCAATGAAGGTTGCATTGAAGAGTGGTCAGGAACTGAAGAGTCCATGGGATCCAGGGCAATTTGACAAATTGAATCCAAAATTGGCTTCATGGCAGGAGGCAGAGGGTGATGATCGAAGATTGTTTGTTTTTGTGAGTGGAAACCTGTGTTCAGTAGCATACCACCAGGATTCAGTGCTGGTCCTCTTGCTGTTGTATGATCTCAACATGATTAATGATCTCAAAATGAATTTAGGAGGATTGAGCAGTACTTTCACAGATGAGACAAAAATTGCTGAAATGGCAAATTGCACGGAGGAAAAGTTGCACTAAAGGATGATATAGATAGGCTGATCAGATGAATAGAACAGTGGCAGGGGTTGAGCTTAATCCGAAGCAACGTTTATCAGCGCCATGATCGAATGGCAGAGCAGACTTGATGGGCCAAATGGCCTAATTTTGCTCCTGTGTCTCATGTACTGATAAGTGTGAGATGATGCATTTTGGTAGGATTAACAAGGATAGGGAGTACCTGATGAACTGTAGCATCCTGTGAAGTACTCCAGATCAGAGGTGTATATGTGCACTGACCCTTGAAGGCAACAGTACAGATGTACAGTGTGTTAAGAAGGAATATAGGATACCCATTTCTGAAGAAGGGTCCTGACCCAAAACGTCAACTCGCCTCCTCCTCTGATACTGCCTGGCTTACTGTGTTCCTCCAGCTCCACACTGTGTTATCTCTGACTCCAGCATCTGCAGTTCTTGCTATCCCCATATAGGATACCTGCTTTTGTTAGTCAAGGCCACGAATACAAGACATGGAAATTATGATGGTGTTTTGTGTGCACTCTGCTGTCTATGTTATAGGAAGGATGTGATTGTACTGGAGAGACAGCAGAAGAGATTTACCAGGGTGTTCCCTGAGCTGGAATGTTTCAGCTAACAGGAAAGACTCGATAACCTGGGTAATTTTCCTCGGAGCAGAGAAGGCTGGGGG